ATATATATGTATTGTTTTTTTTTTTCAACACTAGTATGGTAAGCCAATTTGTAATGTAATAATAAGTAACATTTTAAAAGTAAATGACAAGGCAGGTTAATTATCATAGCCAGACWGGATTTTTAAAGCCATATAGCATGCCAATTTATCATGTAATAGCTAAGCTAAATTTTTAAAACCTGTATGGTAAGGTTATTTATCATTTAACAGACTGGGTTTCTAAAACTTTAAAATTAAGCCAACTTATATTATAGTTGGACATGGTTTTTCAAAACCAGTTTATAAAACCAATTTATCATGTGATGGTTTTATTGGATTTTTGAACCTATATGGTAAGCAATTCAAAACCCTTATGTCAAGCCAATTTATCATGTGAAAATTAATTATTTTTCAAAAATAAAATGGCAAGGACATTCAATAGTTTGACTTGATGTATCAACCTGTATGGCAAGCTAATTACCTCCGCCAAGCGGGGGGAGGTAATATTTTTGGTAGCGTATGCCTGTCGTTCTGTCTGTGGACAAAATTAATCAAAAACTTGTGGACGGATTGCCCTGGCATTTTTACCACATGTGGGTATTCGCCAAATGAACACACCATTCAATTTTGGTGAGGTTCTGGATCACGGTGCGGAGACAGGAATTTTTCTTTTAATTCGAGCGAATCAGCCAKAAGTTGCGAGCTCCCCCAGCCSTGCACAGAACTTCAGGAACGTGTTGCTACGTTACGGGAATAACTGAGAAGACGCGGGCGCAACCGAGCCGAACCTGGTACCAGCCCACGAGCTGAATCACCRGTCYCCCGCCCGYCGTCTGCGMGCGGTGTTTCACTTCAGCCCCTGAACCACCGGCCCACGGACTGCACCACCGGCCCAGATGCAGGTTAGAGGGCCGGTGGTTCAGTCCGTGAACCGGCCCACAGGCTGGAGTGAACCACCAGTCTGATGCGCGCGATTCATCTGCAGTTTAGCTATATTTTAAATGAGGGGTATTATGTATTTTCTAGTCACAGAGTCTAATACCACAATCAAGTAACTATTTTACCTTTAGTTGTTATAAAAATTCTGTAAATAAAAAAACTGACTTTGCATCTAATTGCCTTGAAATTGGACTCTGTGTCTTTAAGGACCTCCTACCATTTCCAACACTCCCACACTTAAGCACTTCTGCACAACAACGCTTCAGGAGAGGGCTGCTCCATGGGGCGAGAGCTCGGCAGCAGACTGAGTTCCATGGAGGAGCTTTGTGTAAATAGGCCGTGCTTTGTACCAGTATGTGTTTAGGCAGCTCCATGTGGCTACCACAGAATAATCAAGGATTGCTCAAACGTRAATGAAAGCAACACTCTGGAYATGTTTTTGATGAGGGAATGACATAGCATGATATAAAGCTTAAAAAAGTCGATTTTGCATACCCCTCCCCCTTTTTTTCTCAACTCTTATAGCAAGCTAATTTATAATGTAATATACAAAACTGTCCCCAGGTTCTACAAGCTTTTTTCAAACCAATTTATCATACTATAGTTAGAAGGGTTTAATGTCTAAAAACTGTAATTAGAGATAAGGGCGTGGTGTGATTAAATGTGGCACTGGCCTGCCGTAGAACCCTCTATAGCTATTGAGGCCAGTGATGGGACAGGTCCTGTATTTAGACAGGGAGTGTCCCAGTTTTATTTAAAGACCCACACCCCGGAGATCTGTCGGGCTTAAAGGATGAGGCTCTTATCCCAAGATTGCGGTGAGATGTGGCCCCGCCCACACTTTCCAGGTGGCATTGCACCTGTGAGTGTAATCCAATTACATGGTGAGAAGCTGCCGGATTCTTCTAAGGTCATCTACCTAATCAGCCCCAAGCAGGATGCAGGTGAAAGGTGTAAAAGAGACGTGAGCTGAGCTAAAGAGAAGGGCTCAAGAGTTAAATGACTGAGACAAAGCTAAAAGAAGCAGAACACTAGCTGAAAGCTAAAAGGAACAAGACACCAACTAAAAGAACTAAAAGTAGAAAAGCTAAAAGCCAAATGTAGCAACACTCTAGCTAAAGGTAAATGTAGCAAAATACTACCTAAAACCTAAAGTAGCAAGACCCTAGATAAAACTTTGATAAACACAGAAGTAGCAAAAGGGTAGCTAAAAGTATAAAAAGGCTGAAAGCTAAAAGTAACAAAATGGTGGCTAGAGGCTAAAAGTAGCAAAAAATCAGCCAAATGTTTACTAGATCACTGGTGTCCAAAGTCGGTCCTCAAGGTGTCCTGCATGYTTTTGGAGCTKCCCTGGTTCAACACAGCTGAACCTAAGGAGTGCTTAATTAGTAGGCTTCCTCAGTATTCAATCAAGGTCTACAGAGGCCTACTAATTAAGCACTGTTTAGGTTCAGCTGTGTTGAACCAGGGAAGCTCCAAAAGCATGCAGGACCCTGTCCCTTGAGGACCGACTTTGGACACCACTGGGCTAGATAAAAGTAGCAGAGTGTTAGCTACATGCTAAATGTAACAAAAATCTATCTAAAGTGGTAAAACGGTAGCTTAAAATGTAAGTAGCAAAAGTAGAAAAAGATAGCTAGAAGGTAAACATAGCAAAATGGTTTCTACAGGCTAAAAAWGCAAAGGCTAGCTAGATGGTAAAAGTAGCAAAATGGTGGCTAAATGTAACAAAATGCTATCCAAAGTAGCCAAACAGCAGCTAAAAACTAAAGTAGCAAAGGCTAGCTAAAAGTACTGTAGAAAAAGGATACCTAGATTKTAAACGGCAAAACAGTGTCTACGTGTGAAAAATGCAAGGGTAAGCTAAGAGTTCAAAGTAGCAGAACGACGGTGACCGGATGTTCTGAACTGTGTGGGACTGTCCCATATTTTTCACTCCTGTCCTCGCAAGTTGAAACAATGTCCTGCATTTGACTGGGT